GAAAAATGTATAATTTTTCTTGGATATCTACTATTGGACGTACACCATGATGGTTAAGTAAGTCAACTATCACCATTCGGTAAAAAACAAAAAAAACGAAACAAAACAATAACATATTTTTCGTTCTCATGACCATGTGAACGTCGTACCAACCATATTTTAAGGCTGGTCGCCGTGCTAAATACGATGGTTGACAAAGCTAATAAGTATTCTGGGTTTATTTCGTTATGAAGGATGACTTTACTACACCACCCGTGGCGGCGGCTTGCATATACATTGCATCGTTTTTCGTGTGCTGCCCTATTTTCAGGCAACTTCTTCGATTTCCACTTCCACCCTACTTAGGTTTGCGAGGAAAGGCATTTGTGGCACTTATGTTTACGACTTCATGTCGTCATCAGGTTTCGTACCAATCGTAGTAAAAAGACGAAGTTCGCAAAGAGAGCTGTTTGCTTTTCCCTTGAAAATAAGCCCCTCTTGAATTATCACTTTGGTTTTGTCGTCGTGTATCGCGCAAGTGGACTGGACGGGGCGCTGGGCTGTGTGGCCGAGGCTGTGGTGGCAGGTGGCAGGCGCTCCCTCTGATCCTCCCCGGGGCCGGCCGGGCCGCCGGGCCGAGGCCCCCGCCGCCCGGGTCCGGGCCTCGCTGTGACGCGATGGCTTTGAACTAACTGATGGTAGCGCCACCGCGCCCCGCCCGGCGCTGTCCCTAGGAAAGGAAAACAGAGGGCCTGGTGAAAGGAAGACGAGGAGTAGGAGGAGGAGGGGAGGGAGGAGAGAAGGGTCGGTGCGGGGAGGTCTGATAACGGATGAGGAGCTAAAATGGGTGTGTGTGCGCGCGCGAGCGCGCGGGCGGGCCGGCGTGGGGCGGCTGGCGGAGCGGGGGAGGGAGGCAAGGGGGCGAGCGAGCAAAGGGTCGCCGGAGGGTGGGGGAGGAAACGTGTCTAGGATTGGACTAAACTCGCACTAGCTCCGTATTTCTGGACGTCCATCTAGCCGAGGGAAGCCGAGCACACGCCACCCTCCGCTGCTGCCGCCGCTGCGTTAGTTGGCCTCGCCCCGGGGGTAGGGCGGGGCGGGGCTCTGCTGGACCAACATGGGGCGGCACAAACTACACTATCGGAAATGACCTGGAAGTAGCCCCGGACCCCAGAGGGGCCTCGGAGAGGGTTCTAGAGGGGCTCGCTGTTGCTGGGCAGGAGAGCGACAGAGAGAGAGAGAGAGGCAGTGGGAGGGATGAAGCCCCTTGTGTTTGATCCACTCGAGCGGCCCCTGGCGGCCTCCGCCTGCCGGTGTAGGGACCCCCGGCCCGGATACCGACGTAACTAAGGCCAGCCTCTGCCCCTGGTACGCCCCGCCCCGCCCTGCCCCGCCCGGGGCACGCCACGTGGTGCGGTGGGGCACTGTCGGCAATGTGCGGCGGAATATAGGAAATCGCGTCCTACGACGGGGAGGGACTACGAAGGCGATGGGCACCGGCGAAAGTGATACATGACTTCATGCACGTCTTCCAAGCTGGCATTCCTGTTCTTCAGGCCAAACAACCAAAGAAAAATGAACTGAAAGCCATGTGTACTTCTCCAAAGTCATACTACATTGCTGCTAGTAATTCTGTTCGTTGGCTACACTGATAAACTAAGTGTTCAACTGCTCAACACTTGTAAGTATGCAGCTGCAAGTTGAATACTTGCAAGTGTCCAACTCCGTAGTTCTACACTTGCAAGTGTTTAACTCGGTAGGTGTGCACTTGCAAGTGTGCAACTCCTCAGTTAAACACTTGCTCAGATTGGACGCTTACTGTGTAGGAAGTGCTCAACCGAGGAGTTGCACACTTGCAAGTGCACACCTACCGAGTTGCACACTTGCAAATATTCAACTTTCAGTTGCACACTTGCAAGTATTTAACTTGCAGTTGCACACTTAGAAGTGTTGAGCAGTTGAACACTTAGTTTATCAGTGTAAAAATTACACAAAAAAATAGTTCTTGCATCACTTATTCCATCATTGCGACAAATATGGTAAATTTACAACATATTTTGTATTTCCGATAGAATATGTTCTAAATTTACTAGAGCCCATTCAAACCGAGTTCCAATTCGAAGCAAAGTGCTTTTAGTTTTACAATTTTAAGTTGTCACTTACCACACATCACGGAAAAATTGCAACCCTTACGAGGATTTCTGATGGTGATTCTTGAATCGAGAACAATAGTTTGGGGGCGTTGAGTGCTACTTTGTCGGACTCTTTCCGCGTGAGGCACGCCCATCGCACATTGGATTTCGAATGACATGTTCGTGTAACAATAATGTTGGAAAGACGTCACAAAGTTTTGAGGAGTAGCCCCGCCACGACCCCTCCCTGTCCCGCTCCCGCTTCCGCATCCACGTGGCCGCGGTTTCGCTGCTTCGCCTTTGGCGTGGCGCGCTGTGTGGCGACTCGCTCCGACGCTCCACAAATCTAAATCATGCCCAACAGTTGGTGGGGCCACCAAAACTTTCTGCTCTTTGAGTGCCAAAGTTGTTGGCCCCGCGGCTGCTGCCGTTGCCGCCGCTGCTGCTGCCGCTGCTCCTGCTGCCTGCGCGGGGAAGAGTGTCTAGCGCGAAACACTATGGCTGGCCGTGCCACGGCGCCGCGACACACGTCTGATGTGAAACAGCGACAGACAACGACACCAAGCACGGCTGAGCGAAGCGTCGGCGACATGCTGGTGTCAATCCGGACATAGTAGCTCGTCGCGCACCGCTCCTGTTGTGTGTCATCAGAGATGGGGTGAACCGAGGAGAGAAAAAAAAATAATAGTGAGGACTAAGTGCCGCTGCTGCCGCTGGGCCGTGCGAATATGTGAGGAGCACTCTGCTGAAACGTGTTTTATTTGCAAGTCGTTTTTTTCTTGTGTGTTTTTTTTTCATCGCGTTATGTTGCTTTTTTTCCTTGCCTATTTTCCGCATCTCATGCTCTAGAGTAGTTTGACACCTCTCCACGCTAGGCCGCGAGCAGCTCCATCATGCCCGGCGTGATTAACGTTGCTTTATGCGAGTGAGTGTGTGTGCCGGAGTAAAGCGGCAGAGAAATGCTCTAAATTCTGTAATTACTCTGCTTTTTTTTCTCGCCTTCTAAAAGGTTGGGCGTGCGAAAAAATTCACTGAATTTATGGTGTGAAGTGGGTGAGCAGGCTGCGTACGCGCCCAGCTCAGGCGTTTCGAGGCGTGCATGGCGCCGGCGCCGATGGTCCATACGGGAGGCTGCGCCACGTGCCTGGAGGACGCCGCCGTGGTGGACGCCATGTTGTTCGGGGTGATGAGCCCATTTTCCACACGACGGCGGCGGCCAGGCCCCACGTCCAGCGGACTGTGCCGTTATTAATATGGCCCGGTTATCTTACGCAGCGAGCGCCCCCATCTTGCTGCTGCTGCTGCTGCGGACGGAGATGGATGGGGCGAAATGGGTTGAGTGAATAAATAAGACCAGAGGGGTAGTGTCGGTGGTGCGGGGGAGAGCGAACGGGGAGAGGGAAAATGCGGGGAAATTGAACATCTCGCCAAATTTTCTACTGCGGAAGCTTTCAACAAACCATAGCGACTTGCAAGAGAAGGAGAAGAAAAAAACTTGTTTTTCCCTTCCTAGTCTTTTTCGGGAAACACGCCTGTCCATAGAGAGTATACTCCGTTGCCGTGCTGTGAGCAGCCCGCATGAACAGCAGCACATTCGTGCGAGCATTCCCCATTCCCCGTTCATGTTCCTCTTTTTTCCATCATTTTTCCTGCTCCCCACACGTTGTAATCTGAGTTGATTCTCGTAGCCGAGAAATACCTTCTAGAAGTTTTCTTGTCCTTACTTTG